CGGCTGCGTTTCCTGACGGCGCCGAGGACATCGCTGAAGCGGCGGCCCAGGTTCCTCCCGCGGATGGTCAGCAGGGTGCCCCCCTCCAGCGGCCCGCGCAGCGGCTCGATCTGCGGCACCAAGGGAAGGGTTAGAGGAGAACCACCAGGAAGCTTCTTGCCGTCATCCCTGAGCCTGTGCCTGTGTCCACATCCCACTTGGTCCCCCATGAAGAAGACAGAATTGCTCCTCATGCTTCTGCTCCCCCCACAGCGGGCCCACTGCCACACTCCCCTTGCTGGAGCTTTGCAAACAAGAAGTCATCACTGGGTTTGGTACTGGGGTTTGGTCAGGGATTACCCCAGCTGCAAACACATCTGGGGAGAAACACTGCTCCTTCCACACCACAGCTTCGAATGGAGTTGTGGCAGAGACAAACGCCGCGACTTGGAAACTCAGAGGATGCCAGTGTGCTGGGAAGAGAGAGTCCTACCACCACATTTTTAAGGGCTGTCCTGAATACAGTGGGGCCTTTCAGGACAAAAACAAGACAAAAAGTGCCCTGATGCATGGAGCGTGGCCAAGACACCAGTACCGCGGCACCCCAGGGCGCAGGACGAGTCAGGTGCTGCGGGAGGAGAAGGCTGCTCCCCATCCACCTCCTACGCCACTTGTTTTTCACCTGGCAGCTGCTGACCCCACTGCTGTGAGGGGACAGGGTGCTGGGCGTGATGCCGTTCCAGCGCACAAGGGGCATCCCGGGCCAGTGTGACTGCATTATTCAGCGGGTGAGACAAATCCCTCCAGTTCAGAAATGGCTCTTTTCCCTTTGCAAAGGCAATGGCACACAAAGCCAGCACAACGCGCCTGGTGGCACCAGCTGGCCAAGCCTGCCAGGGCTGGTCAGGACCCGCCACCAGACTCAGTGCCCTTCTTCGCCTGCTGCATTGCTCCCCCCTCCAGGAGGGCCCTGTGAGCGTTTGTTTGCTCGCATGACTCTGGAGGATTTGGATTTACCAGCTACAGTTTGCTAAGGAAATAGCGACAGAGTCCTGTGACGCTCTGTGACCTGAACTGTGGTTTCCTTCCATTATTTTCTGGCGAGGTGCTGATAACACTTGATGTGTGCTGGGGAAGGACAGGCTCACGGGGGAGCACCCCTCTCCCACAGTGACGAGAGGGAAGAGGCAGGCAATGGGGATTCTGCAGTCCCTCCATGCAGTGTTACAGCACCCAGATTTTGAGCAGCTATTGCTACACGCCTCCCTAAGAACAGAAATCCCATATCCTTGCCGATTTTGATGTTCACATTAGCTGTTTTGTCTCTCCAGCTTCTCCTTTCCTAGGGAGCTCATTTTAAGATTTGCTCTATATACTTTCTTTGCTACTTGTCAGGGACAAATTTGTTGGCTCATACCATATCTCTAAGCAGAACCCCAGATCCAAATGCCCCCAACAAACATTCATTCAACTACAATTTAAATAAAACTCATTTCAAAATGCATAATGCCAAAAGTCCCTCTGCCAACTCTCAATCTCAGCAGAACTGCAGAGCACATGTGCCTGGAGATAGGGCTCACATTCACATTTCAGCTATGCTCCATTAAACGCTATTCCTGATAAGAATCCTTCAGCCAACCCTACAAATCTTTCTCGCTTTTACCAACCCCAGGAACTCTGGGACATTTTGATTGTGCTGGCGTTGTTTTTCCCACTAACACGATGAAGACTGGATCTTGTCACTAGCAAGATGTCCTTGGCATCAGGTGACTCAACAGCACAGAAAGTCAGTGAATAATTCAGCACTGGTCTTGACCCTGTCCTGTGCCAGGGACAAAGCGCGGTTCCTCCTTGCCCCCAGCTGGGGACTGCGCAGCCAGTTTCAGCCCTCCGCACTGCCTGCCATGCCATGCACGCCCTCCATGTTGCATTCGGGTCTTACCTTCTTAATCTCCGGAGCTGGACAGACATCTGAGATCTGGGGGTGCTCGCTGTGCAGCCTGCAGCTGGAGCTGCTCTCACTCCAGACACAGCGGTGCCCCAGGTCCTCCCTCCCCAGGCACTGAGAACAGTCAGCACTCCCAGTCACACAGTTGTACACCTCCACTAAACCACAAGAGACAACAGAAAATGTGAGCTCCTGGGCCTGAACCCCTCCGCCACCCCCCGGCTATATTAATCCAAGTAACATCTGAAATCCAGTGGATGAGCAGAGCAGCTTGCACATACAGCAAGATGAGGCAGCGCTTGGCTGCCATCCTGAAGATTTCCCAGAAGGACTGGGTGCTTGTTCTCACTGCAATATAATTTAGCACTTTCTTTTCCTTTTTCCTCCCCTTGAAAAACAAACAACACCCAAACTCGGAACCTTTTGTCAATTTATGCTACATGTTTCCAACTCTCAGCATCCACATGGGAAGCTGCTTTGCAAAGCTGGCTCCATCCTGTTAGTAAAGCAATCACGTTGCTTCCACACTCTGACAAAAATCAGATGGTTACAGTGCTTTGTACAGTGTTTACAGTTCCTTTCCTTCCCCCTGGTGACCACGGGCCCCTTTCATTGACTTCTCCCTTCAGATCTGCTCAGCTCAGCTTCCACATCATTTTCCTACACCGCTTTCACCTCTTCATTAGCTGGTGCCCTAGGTTACATTTCCTCTCCAGCCTAAAGACTTCTGCCGCTGGAGTGTGGGTATCCGCTGAGATAAACAGCCAGAAACACTCAGGAAACGTTGCTTTCACACCCTTTTCCCCAGAGGAGACTTTGCAGGAGAACATAAAACAAAGAAACAGTCACATTTTGCACTTCTGTTCACGGGAGGATCTCAAGGCACTTTATAAGCAACTAATGAATCCCTCAGCCTTCAATGGTCTGCCTGTGCTTGTGCTAATGAAATGTCATTGGCAAAAAAATGAGCTGCTTTCACCTCGTCTTGAGTCCACTCAGTGAGTTACACTGGTTGGTTTTCTGCCCAGCAGCAAAGAGCTGGGATTCCTTCAGTGGACTACCAAAACGCAGTTTACAATAAAAGCTAATAAATATTGAAATAATAAACACTAATAACAGTAATTCCATTAAAGACAGTACAAAAGCTCCACACATTTATAATTGGCCTGGCAGATCTCTGTCTCTGCTTGCAAGTCAGCCTCTCTGATTTTACTCACACCAATCTGATCAAGGCAAGGAGGAGCCAGAGCAGTCAAACAGTCCCACAGGATCTCCAAATATTCTGGCAAATTCAGATTGATGCAAACACAGTCTGTGTAAGCGAGCTCTTTCTCCGTGCAGGAGGGGAGGGGATTCCACCCTCTTTCCGCTGTTGTTCCCGCTCCCCGCACCACCCACGCTGAGAACTAAGAGTCTTCTCTTGCACATCAAAATAGCCTTAGCTCAGATCTCCCGCCCCTCTCCTCGGGGTTACCTCTGTATCTCAAAAATACGGACACCCTCTTCCTTCTGCAAGGAAGTCATGTCTCATGCCTACCCATGCTGGTATTTCAAAGGTTATTTCACCAATGTGGAATGCTTTGCAAGATAAGCCTCCTTTATACACTGGGATTTACTATGGGGAAACCTTTTTATCTTGGGTCAGTGGCTGATGGTGTTAATGTCTCTCTACCTATTACGGCTATCCTCCAAAGAAAATCTCACTTCAGGCATCTAGTTCTCATTTGCATCTAGGGTAAATCAGTTCCTTCTACTGCAATTGCTGACACTACTGAGAGAGAAAAGAGCCCAAAGCTGCTGCCTCCAGTGAGAGCACACAGCTAGGTGCAACACCGAGTCTCCAGCCAGGGCAGGGAGGGGCGGCTGTTGTGCAAACGCTGGCTCTGTTGGCCGACTGGCTGGGCTTGTCCTATCTAAATGCCTTGTCTGAGTGCACTCTTAATCTGACTCTTTGCCTGCCTTCCTTAGTCTGCTGATGTAGCAAGGGCTTTTTTCGGAATCCGAGCGTTCTTCCCAGAGACAGAGAGTGGGCCAGGGGTGAAATGTGTTTACACATTTTATTCTTTCTCAGCACAGGAGGGAAAAAAAAAAAAAGACTCAATTTTTACAGCATGCTGAACCTTGATGCTACGCTCCCGTAAGAGCTCACAGCAGAGCCCTCCCCGGTCCCTTATCTCCTCCAGGAGGAATTCCTCCCCGACCCTGGGGATGCCCCACATCTCTGCTGTGACCAAGAGCACCAGCACACCCCATCCCATGCGCCGCTGGCCGGCGAGACCTCAACCACTGCCTGCGCTCAAGGACGGGGCTTGACTTTCCCTGGGTGTAAAGGGGATGTCCACGGGCATCCGTCTGGTTTCTGGGCACACATTCACATGGGTGCAACTCTGCGTAAATACGTTTTTTGTGTGTGCCTGAGAGAAAGAATGGAGCTGTGCCCGGCTGAGCCATGGTCTCTCTCCTGAACCCATAAACTTTGTCAGGATTTGAGAGTCATTCAAGCTGACCAGATGAGAGCAGAATAAAAATATTTTCAACTCAGACCTGTCATCATCTCTGGACTGTCGATAAATCTGTCTGGTCTGTCCTTCAGCTGAAGGTTCACTGGGAAGAGATGGCTTTTTTCTGATGTGTGGAGCTGCACACAAAAAACAAATAAACAAAAGCTTAGGAAATTTAGTAAAATACAAGGTTCCATATGCACACTACATGGATTAACATTCCTTGTGAGGCTTCTCTGACCACTGCTTCTCAGTACAGGAGAGTGTCATCTTTAGCAGAGAGAAAGAGAGGGAAGGCTGTTTTCTGTTTTAATTGTTTTGCTGAGGTCCCAACGAAGGGCACCGGTGCATGGTGCACACCTCAGTGAGAGCAGAGCCCTGGCTTGCTGCTATTTTTAGTAGAAGTGGACAGGAAAACTAACAGACTGGCCAGTCTGCACATTTTCAGTGCCGGGCTACAATACAGAGTTTTGCAGGTGACATGATGGGAAAGTGCTCCTCTCCAGCCTCTACTTGCAATATTCCCATCAGTGGAAGCCCAAACGTTTGCTGCATTTCAGAGGTGCAGTTTGCCCTCCAACAGCCACAGTGCACCACTCTTCGGTGAGCGTCTGAGCATTTTCTCAAGCCAATTCCTCGTTCAGAATAAAAGCTACAGAAATAGCAACACTGAAAGGTGGCCAAATTTTTTGCCTGAACTGAACTCTTCCCATTTAGAAAGGTAAACAAGCAGCTCCTTCCCAAACCCCAGCAGAGCAGGGGCTGGAGCCACTGCAGACACCCACGGAGCAGACAACGCAGCATCAGCGACTCATGAAAGCCCTTACAGCATCAGCACAGGCAAAGAGCCTCTTGCCAGAGGGGCGAACCTGATTTGCACTTTTTTCAGCTGGAAGCAGAGGGAGGGAGGAGGGGAGGTGGCATCCCAGCTGCTGGGTAGGAGGCTGGGGGCAAGACCCTCCCTGCCCTTGGACCTGCCCCATGTTGTGGGGGAACAGGGGCTGGCAGCCTCACCCCGCGACTCACCAGCACGTGTACACACTCCACGGCGGAGGAGTTCAGCCACCGAGCTTCAAATGTCCTGTCTGTCCCAAAATGGCACTCCAGAGCTGTCTCCTGGGAGAGGGAAGACAAGGGCAGAATGGTTGCAACAACCATTTTGTGCAGTTCCCCATCTCAGTTAACCGATAGGGCAGGCGCAGTGTCTCACCTTATTTCTGCCGGTAGTACCTGAACTGCGTTCAAGTCAAATAAGAGATCAGAACCCAATATTGTAAACAGGGCTGGGATCTGTGCCTAATTAATCCTGCTCTGTTACACACCTATACATAAAACTGCTGCAGGCTGAGCATCACACATGGAGCCAAGCCCTGTCCCTTGCTCTTGCCCAGTGTGCTGCTGTAAAGTGTCATGACCAGGTGTGGGGCAGCCGCTCCTGGAGCCAGGGATATGCAGCACATGCAGAGCAGGAGACGTGCCTGACCCACAGCACTCACAGACCAGGAGACGTGCCTGACCCACGGCACTCACAGACCAGGAGACGTGCCTGACCCACAGCACTCACAGACCAGGAGACGTGCCTGACCCACGGCACACGCATGCCAGGAGACGTGCCTGACCCACGGCACTCACAGACCAGGAGACGTGCCTGACCCACAGCACTCACAGACCAGGAGACGTGCCTGACCCACGGCACTCACAGACCAGGAGACGTGCCTGACCCACGGCACACGCATGCCAGGAGACGTGCCTGGCCAGGCTATGCTCTTGTAACCCCCACCAGCGGGGTACCTGGGTTCCTCTGGACCGGGGGTGTTTAGAGCTCATGCTGCAATGCAGACCGAGAGCCAATGTGGTCCCAAGCCACCTCGCACAAACCAGACCAAACCAGTCCATAATCTGGGCTCAAAGTCACCTTCCTTCTCCTCCCAACAACTGCACCGAGCAAATCTCTAATTAATTCAAATGAGGACCCAGCCAGGAATATGTTCAAAGGCAGATTTTCTGTGCTGTTTTCCTGATAACACAAGGATGATATCCTGCCCCGAGTTACTGCTGTGCCCCCCATCCTGCAGAAAAAAATCCTATCTCCAAGCAGGTTGATGCTCCACCACTACTGAGGTCTAACTACCCTTTGAAAACTGACAGATCTGATAAAAGACATGAAAGCAAGCGCCAGACTCCTGGCAGGCAGCTGCTGGCTCAGTGAACACACACACGGCCGCGAGGGGGAAAATGGAATCTCCTCCAGTGCATCGCTTGTGCCCAGGCAGCTTCTGCTCTGCGGGCTGGCCCGTGCCCCTCGCCTCTCGCCCACCGCCCAGGCAGTCCCCCTGCAGCAGCAAAGGTGTCAGGGCACGCATCTCCGATGCTCTGAGCTCTGGCAGCGCTCACAAGCTCCTGTGGAGAGGAAAGGAGAAGGAATCCCGCCCGGCGCCCCAGGACAGTTTGCGGATGATGGTGGGAGGAAGCCGGACTGCCAGAGCCTCTCCAGCCGCCCCGGCAGCGGCGGGGGCTTGGCCGCT